ATATAGTCTTTAAATATTTTCTCATACAGTAAAATTTCACCTATATTTTAACTTTTTATTATATTTCTAGAGATTGTAACAATCTCAACTTCATACAATGCCACGAGAGTGGAGACTGGAGTTCTTGTGCCGCAGATCCAAGCCTACAAAGATAGGTAATGTATTTTCATTCTAAAAATATGTATTATATTGACTTATATGTCCACTACTCTTATTTAATTGAATTTATTATATGAATTTTACATAGGCTTTCAAGTATTGAAGGAGGTTCGATAATTCTTCGGAGTGTTGTGTCCAAAAATTCTGAACTTGAGGAATTGGCGGCTGGAAATATTGATGTTAGGACTATTGACTACTTTGTTGATGGCAAAATGGTAAATTCAATAATATATAATATGATAAAAATATTGTTTTGATTTTAAATGATTCATTTGGCATCTCATTCATAAAATAAATATATAAAAAGAATATAAAAGTATATGTAAATGTTTTCTAGATTGGAGAGCATTGGGTATGCGCAAAAGTGAGAAATATATCACAAAATTGGTGGTACATCTCGTGCCTAAAGTGTCCAAAGAAGGTGGTACATCTCGTACATCTCGATCCACAATTCAACCGACTGGTGTTGACGGATTCAATAGCAAATATTTTATTCAAGTGAACTAGACTGATTATAAACCGGTTCTCGGTCCATCCGGTCAGACTGTGTCCAACACGGTTTAATTTAAAAACCATGGGTAAATGTTGATTAATTTATTTATATATTTAATTTATAACACAATGGTAATATTGTTTTCCCGTGCATCGCACGGGTTTGCACGCTAGTTAAATGTAAATGTTTTTTTTTAATTTCCCTCCAAACTAGCCGAGAATTCGCATGGTAATTTTTTGGATGATATATTTGTTAAAAAAAAAATCGGTCTACCCTTAAATTGTGGCATTAAATGCTCCATCTCTCATAAGACCAGGTCAACCCTCCATCTCTCCTCCAAAGATCTTCACCCTCCTTATTTATCCCCATAAATTTATTACATTTGTGATTATCTACTTAATTTAATTATTGGTTATCTAAAAGTAGGATCCAATTATTGTGTGACTGATTTGTACGCAATTAGATTCAATCATATCGAATTAAAAATTAAAATAAGTGATGCACAGGATATCAATTGATCATGCCTAAAATATAGTTCAAATTTGTTTCAATCCAAGAATACAAATTAAATATATAATAAAATCAACCATAAGTTTTAACACGTGTTGATTCGCCAATTTTAAAAATGAGATCAAATTCCATGGTTGATTTGCATTCTTTAAAAATTGTGAATCAGTTATTGATTTGCTTTATATTTAATAATCAATCTGTAGGAATAAAATAATTATAGAAAAATATATTTAACATTCAAATGACATAAAAAAGAAAACTGAATAAAGAGAAATAAATGTCACTAATTGAGCTACCCAAAAAAAAAATAAAAAAAAATCATCGTTACACATACCTAAAATCACACGTTGTATTGCATTCATTAA